AAGCAACATGGATTATCCCTTCATGGATATCAGTGGATTATCAGTGGATGGGCTGGGCCAACATTCTGGGAACACCAAGTACCACCATGCACAAAAATCTTGAGAGGCCTCCTCTGACATCGCTTATCTTGAGGCAGGACTGGGGCCCACAAATGTTGTTCATGCTCCTCCCTGTGTATCAAGTTTCTGTGTGAGGCCAGGAGGTAGGCCCTGAGCCCTCAGGCTACACAGCAACTGCCCACCTAAGGAAGGCCTCCACATCAGCCACATACTTCCAGGTCCAGAGGCTACCAGCACCCAGGCCCAGGAGCTTCTCTGAACATGTCTGTTCAGCTATGAAATACTTTTACTGTCATTTTAACTACTCCTAGTCTCACTGCCAACACCTGGAGATACTCTTGTCAGGAGAAAGCACAAAGCTTCAGCCTGAGTCTACAGTAGACAAAGCCCTGAGTGGGGAGGCCAGAGACCCAGGGTCTAGTATCAGCCCTGTTATGGGAAATTGTTTGGCCTCTCTGGGCCTTGGGTTTTTCATCTACCTTCACCAATGGTAAGGGTCGATCAGATGACCTCTACATGTCCCCTCAGCTCCTGCAGTCCACCAGTAAATAGAACTGTTTCTGAGCAGCTGGGAGGGTCCATGAGAGCAAGCTCTGTTCCCTGCCTCCGAGAGGGTGTCAGCCTGAGCCAGACTGGAATGTCATCCCCTCATTCTGCTTATATTGATTCAAATGGAAGAGGCATGTAGTACTTGGAAAGAATGCAAGATTTGGAATCGAAAGAACTGACTGAATCCTGGCTTTGCCGCTTAAAGGTCGTGGAAATTTGAGCAATTTCATTAGCTCTATGGGTTGCTTCCTTATCTGTTGTTGTTGTTGTTTAAAGGTTTTATTTATTTGAGAGAGAGTGAGAGAGAGCACAAGTGGGGAGGAGAGGGAGAAGCAGACTCCCCACTGAGCAGGGAGCCCCACATGGGGCTCAATCCCAAGACCCTGAGATCATGACCTGAGCCAAATGCAGACACTTAACCGACTGAGCCACCCAAGCGCCCCACAGAGGACCTTTGTGAGGAATGGACAAAACACCTATGTGGCAGCAGTCCATAAACGCCAGAGTCTGTCCACACAGAAAGTGTCTGAGCCAAGCAAGTGAGGTCCCTGAGCACACTGCTCATCTTGCATGCATCTATAAGCTATTCAGGAGTGCTAGAACTTAGCTGTGAGCCTCCTTCTCCCTGCAAGGGTGAGCTCCAGGAGTACCCAAAAGAGTCATTCAAGAGTCAACTTGTCCAGATAAAGCCCCAGGATGTTATGAACTCTCTTTAAATCTTAGGGTGTAGAATAAAGAATTAATGGGGCCCTGGCTGTCAAGAACAGTTATAACTTGAAAAAGGAGACAAGGCTATTGGATGTGTCATTAGCAGGCTGTAACTAGTACAGTTGTTCCTTAAGGACTTGGAAAGGGAAAGTGTCAAAGAGGATGGAACCAGTGGGTGGATGAATCTAAGGAAGCTTCCTGGAGAAGTAATTCTAGCAGATGTGAACCACTACAGTGGTGTCCTTCTCCCAGACTTCTAACAAAGACAACCACCTCTTCCAACTGCTAACCCAGGAGGGCTGGAGAGAGGACAAAAAAATGTAGCCTGGTGTGGGGGGTGGTGGTGCCTGAGGCTCTGAGGCACCTCCTGGGCAGGACTCTAAGAGAAAACTTTCCCACTGAATGTAAACAATGCTAAGGGCTTCCAAGCTTTATGCTTGCCCTGCCAATGCTCCTGAGCCCTTGCCCTGTGTCCATTTTATTCTTTACAAACCACCTGCTGCCCTTTAACCTTCAGGTAGGTTGTTAGCACTCAGTCATAAGAATGCGTGTGTGTAGATTTAGATACTTAAAGATTGTGATGAGCAGGCTTCTTTCAGACTGGGGCTCCCCAAACTCAAGAGCTGTGATCTCCCCACAGACATGTATTTCTTTTAAGAACGTGAACCCTCCAAACCGACATGGCAATTTGAAGATTATTAGCTCTTTGGGGCTTTGGGGTCACCTGCACTTGAGGTTCCCAAATTTCAGAATTTCATAGAGTAGTCATATCTCCCTCAAAACAATATGGTAACTGTTCTATTATAGCCTCTTTTTTTTTTTTTTTTTTTTGGTCAAGTAAGGACTTGAAAGAAACAACTACAACCTCCTGGAGTTTCCATCACTTTTAAAAGAAATGACATTTTTAATACACACAAAAGTAGGAAGGCCATGATTTCAAAATTAAAGACTTCTCAAGAATGCACTGCTGACATCCTTTTACTTACATTTTCCTCCAGACTGTAGAACACACAGTAATGGATCAACATGGGTCCACAGATCAGTGCTGGAACTGCACATGGTCTATACTTTCTCCCCTTCTCTAGTGCTGCCCAACTAAATAAAACCATTCTTTGTTATACCCATGGCAATCATCTAATTGGAGCCTGTTTCCCTTCAAAATCTCCATGGTGCCTCACTTTCAAGCTGAGAAACCTGCTTTCTTCAACAGATCCTGGCTTTTCCCTTCTGGCTATTCTCTCAGGAGGGGAGCATGTGGGTTTGCCTGGCTTCATGCCATCCAAACTAGAACTAGCACCACAAGTTTCTGAAGACCACAGTCTAATCAGGATCACTTGATCATTAAGCCACCATAATTAACAGTCAATTTATTATTGGAGCTGTCATTTCAACACATAGGTGGGCAGAACAAAGTTCAAATGCCATATCTTAAACAATAGCAGTTGAGTTCCTGTGATGAAAGAAGGGGGGAGCATGCTGTTCATACACAGAAGTGATGCTATTGGTCCAGGGTCAATGGAGAATTTTTGAGTATTTTCTTACTGAAGAACTGCCTCTAGCTATCCATAGACTCCCTTCTGGCCTTGCTGTCCAAAGGCAGGCCAAGTTGGAGGTAAGACTGTGCTGTAATAGGAGAAAACAATAAAAAGAACAGCATCACCTTCTACAGTTCATTATAAGTATTCCCTCTTCCCAAGCCTACGAAACAGATATTACTATTCCTATGTGATAGACAAGGTAACTGGTCATCAGAAGCCTATTCATTCAGCAGTCAACAAATACTTACTGAGTGCCTCCTATGTCAGGCAAAGTGCTGTGACTTTGTCCAAGGTGACATAGCTCGCAAGTAGCATAGGGAACACCCAAATCCAGTCACCTAACTTCAAGTCCCTTCCATTCCACAGCTGCCTCTTAGGCTGAGGTCACTGTTGCCACCCAAGACTGCAGGATGCCAGGGCCAAAGGGCCATGGTATGAAGGACCACATGATCGAGCTCTTTAGCTTGTTCCTTTGCATGGAAAGTGAGAATCAACAATCACTTTTTTCAGAGGAATAAATCTCCAGGAACAAATCCAAGTAGATACCCATGTCCCACTAGTTGCAGCCCTGTCCATGGTGTGCAGCCCAGAACTGGGTACTGGGTGCTCATGCATTCTCTCAAGCTAGTTTCAAGACAAGAACACTTCAGTGAAGCACACATGAAACTCTGGGGGAGAAACTTTTGGCAAAAGAGGGACAGGTTCTCTCTAAAGTTCTGAGGGTTCCAAGCAATGGGATCAGAAGCCAAACAGGAGGTCCTACTCCTCGGACTAAGGACTGAGATCTCCAGTGTGACTTTCTTGGGCCACCTCAAGAGTCAGAGACCTAGGTCTCATGGCATGCGCCCTTTGCCAGAGGTTTTGGAAACAATGTCTGCCATCCACTCTGGCTGGCCATCCCGATGCCACATAGTTGCATCAGAGATGCACACTAGGCTGCCCATCTCAAGTATGCCAAAATCTTCATGAATGGGCCACCCTTTGCCTGTAATCAACAGACAGGTGGGGCAACAGCCATGGGTCACATAACTGAGTCCAAACATGAGAGGCGGACTCAGATCAATAGATGAGTCAGGGCTCAGTGTATAAAACCTTGGGAGCTCCAGAGCTCTTCACATAAGCCAGCATCTCCTCTCCTCACTCAGCCCCTGGTGCTTCAGGTAAGTGTGAGTTCTCCTGGCTTTCGTCTTCCCAACTAGTCTTCCCCAGCCCTGCTCAGACTAGGTGGACCAGGAGACAGACCTGCAAGGCCTCTCTCCTCTTTGGAAACTACAGGACCTCTGCCTTTCCAACTGCATTCATGTTTAGAGGGAATTTAGGTTGGAAGTTGGGAGCTGAGCTGTTGCTGTGCAGATGGTGTCTCTCGTTTTCTGGCCAGAATGGGAACTCCACAAAGGCAAGACTACTTCCTGTCTCTCTGGCATCCCAGTAGGGGCAGGCCAGTGATGGGCACAGAGGGACATTCTGCAGACTGCCCCTGTGAGTGGGCAGGATGGATCTCTTGCACCTGTCAGGAGGAGAGGCTGAGTCTTACTTCCAGAGAGTAAGGGAGAACAGGGAGAGTAATTCCGAGGATGCTGCAGATGGGGGAGATTTGGGGAACCACAGGAACCCGGGTGCCAGTTTTTCAGAGATGTTCTGAGAGAAAAATTGTATGAGATGCTGGGACACAACTTCCTACTAGTAATGGTCCCCTCAACCAAGCTTGGATGTAAGCGAAGCCTACATCTTCGGTCAGAGATGCTGGTCCAAAGGACCACTGGGTCCCTTCCCCTATGTCCAGACAGGATGGGGGGGGGGTGGTGGTGGTGGTGAGGGCTTTTCTGTTAACTAGCCCTGGTATCATGGCTAGGCTCAGACCAAGAGTTTGAACTAAGAGCTTTTTTTTTTCCCCTTAAAGATTTATTTTAGGAGGGGGGGCAGAGAGAGAGAATCTTAAGCAGACTCACTGCTGAAGGAGGAGCCTGCCTCTGGGTCCGATCTAAAAATCCCGAGATCATGACCTGAGCAGAAATCAAGAATCTAACACTTAACCGACTGAGCCACCCACCCAGGCACCCCTGAACTAAGAACTTTTGCAGAGAATGCGGGGTGGGGAGCAACAACCTCTGACATTCAGACAAACCTCCCTCTGTTGTGCCAGGGATGGGTAAAATCCCCCACCTTAGGTGGAGGTTTGTGCTAATTTCTATCTGCATTCAGAGAATCCATGTTGGGACTGGAGACCTGAGAGCTGAAGTGCTCTAACCCTCTCATTTTACAGGAAGTCGAGGACAGAGGAGGGAGTGTGGGTCATTTGCTGCCAAATCAGACAGCAGATGCCAGAGGCGGAGCTGGGAGAGAAAAATGGGCAACATACTGGGCTACTTAAAGCTTGGTAAAGACTTTCTGAGGGGGAGTGCAACTCTTCCGAAAGCACTAATCCTAGGAGTCCCACCTGCGAGCTCTCCTGGATCTCAACGGAGGCATCAAGCCGGACCCAGGCAGTGCTGCTGAGGCTGATGGGCGTTTCCATGGCTGCAACTGCCTCCTCAGCTGCATCCTCTTAGGGCTGCTCCAGTGATGCTCTCTGCTGTCCTTCCAGGGTTCCATTCCTCCTTAGACAAGATGTCTCACCAGAAAAAGCAGCCCACCTCCATGTGCCCAGTGGTTTGCGGGAAGACCTCGGGCGGCGGCGGCGGCGGTGGTGGTGGCGGCGGCGGCGGCGGCGGCGGCGGCGGCTG